CCGGCCGTGCGCCGCCACAGCACGTCGGGCAGGGGGTCGCCGCCCACTCGGCACTGGAACGTCACACTGCCTCCGGTTTGCGCAACTATATCCTCCGGACCAGAGATCAAATATGGTTTGACTGTGAACAAAATAAATTAAAACTAAACATACACTCGCTTTTGAAAATAACAAAATCTAACTTAGCCGTATAGATCACACTGAAAGCGTCAATTGTGTTTAAAATCACAGACTTGGCATTCATTTTAAGTAATGTACTTACTGTGTATTTTTAATGTAGCAACAGCAGATTCTCTAGTGCCAGCAGCATTTCTCGCAAGGCACTGATATCTGCCAGTATCGGTTTGTCTCGCATCTTGTATCACTAGGCTGCCTCCATCAACTAAATGCATCCTAAAAAGAATATTTAAAATGAAAGCACTTCCAAGAAGTCGAGTCAGTAAAAAATATTCATTACGTGAACTAAAGTCCGATGTAACGAAAGTTATTCAAATATAGGGAGGAATAATTCAAAAGGAAATTAACATTCAATAAAGGGTCCGATAAGTCAGAACTATTGAGATTTTTTCTTGATTGCTTGTACAGCTCTTCAAACATCCCCCTTCTTTTATGAATGCTTACAACTGTTAATTACGTCTTATTTACTATATGCCGAACCTTACAGAAAATCTTAATAAATCAAACGAATGTGTGCATTGAAATAAAAATTTTATGCTACTTGCAAACTATTGTAAATTTTAAATTTACTGAAATAACCTGTGTTCGCTACAATAAAACTACATTTTTTTTACACGGTATATTCAATATGTAATAAGTTTATTAATTGAATATATATTACCTTGAGTCGCCATCAAAATGTAGAACTTGTCCGTTCTTTTTCCAATAAACTGAAGGCTCTGGGGATCCTCTTGGCGGCGAACATTCTAGTATTACCGTCTCACCTTGCGCTGTTTGCGTCGTCACCGGTTCCAGACGGAATTCTTCGCGTAACACTGTCGGATAATTCTTATTAAACGTCTCTATTATGTAATAAATTTAAATAACTATTTGATAGCTCGAAGCATTAGGAGACACAGCCTTTTTAATATACTTAATCTCGTAGAACATTTATGTGTATCATTAGTCCCTTGCTCAAGTATATGTAATTCAAAGAACGAAATCTGGAATTAAAAAGAACTTACCAGCAACATGTAATGTAGCATTCCTGCTTCTAGCAGTTCCATAAGGATTCGCTGCTTCACACCAATACACTCCAGCGTCTGAATGTGCTCTGCCATGTGTCGCTCTGAGGAAGAATAAATCTCCAGCTGGTAGGAGACTTCGATGAGTATCTGAGACGACCAGAGTTCCACTTTTGTACCATCTGATAGTTGGTGTAGGAGAACCGCCAGCTCTGCAGTTCAACGTTGCAGGTTGATGTCGAGCTACGGTCACATCTAAGGGTTGTTCTATTATGTAAGGCGCTTCGCCGTTTCCTACGTAATCATCGTTTATACCACCTTTAGCTGGACCTGTTGAAGAAACTTACATTATCTCTGAGGGAGTGGGTATTTCGAAAATTATTTTTTTTTGTATGAATATCAGAGGGATAAATTATTAAGGTTTCTACAAAATGCTTGTGTATTATTTGACATTTTAACACATTGTTTAATACACATTGTTTAATAGCATAATATTCTTGACTGTAGTTGGATATTTTTGTTACTTGAAACTTCCAGTGTATTTCTTTAATGTATCAACAAAGTAATTTTTCATTCAACAACACAGTTAATTATAATAATAGGTGAAGTATGTCATTAAAGTCTTTTAAACGTAGCGCAATAATAATGAGTCGTAAACATAGACTGTGGACGAGAGTTGCCCTAAAGAACGCAACGCACCCCTGCACTATTCTATAAAGTTTGTACAGAAACGCGCAGATGTTAGTTTTTGACACTTCAATTGATGTATATCTTTTGTTAACACTCACTATTATTACAGCATTGAAAATCGGTTCTCGCAAAAAATCGATTTCACGAAAAACGAACCATTCTTACTACTCGATACGTTAAGCCAAAATCGATAGCTATTACTCTTTTGTGTTACGTAATTGTGTTTACTTATTCACGTGTCCTAACATTTTGTATGCGGTACATCACAAAGCTTAATCTATAATTGAATCTACTTTTGATTCACTATCTTCTCATTTTTAAACAAAAATGTAGAAGTTTATTCTATTCGTTTCCGGCATAATTAAAATAGGGTTTGTAATTGTATCATTTTAACATGAATATGTTTTGATTTTTCTCTACTAAAATTACGAAACACACTACATTTAGTATGGAATAGATTAAAACATTTTGCTCATAAAGAAACGTACAACCGGAATGGCAAAACGTTCCGAAGCGGAGATAAAAGTAAAAGATTTAACAGATTGCGAGGTAAATAAAATATTGTTTATGTTGATCGCAATACGTGACTTTATCGCGCATAAAACTTACTTTATTGCATAGTCGCGAGTTTGATTCCTATCGATTATTGGATATTAAATGGCATACTATAAATAACTTATTGGAAGTAAATGTAAAGAATGTACGGAATATATCAATTTTACTATCTTACTCATATTACAAATGCGAAAGTTTAGATGGATGGGTGGATAGATGGACGGATGTTTGTTACGAGTTTGTAGCCTAAACGGCTTAAATGTTCTCGATGAAATTTGGCACAGATATAGAGGATAGTCTGGAAGAACACTAGGCTAGGCTAATCACTTTTGTTCTTTTTAATTCCACGCGGACGGAGTCGTGGGCGAAAGCTAGTATGACATAGTTTAAGTGTATACGTAGACATAAAGAGTTAATAAAAGAATACAGAGATAATGCATGGGTTCAGATTTCAAAACTCTAAGACCTAGAAAATTAAATGAACACTGATTATCTACAATATTAAGAGCCATTATTTAAAGAACCTTTTGCTATTTCACACTTAAATAAATAATAACTGTTACCATAAATAAGCTCTTAAAAAGATAATTAAAGTTTCTAACAAAAACATTACTATACTGTGACAAAGTTGAAACGCCGAAGGGAGTGATTTTTAACTCACACACGAATAGTTAGCTCCTATTGTTCAAAAGTCTTTGTTATAAAAAAGTTTGCGAGGGTACGTCATGTCCCCTTGCTAATTTATACCACTCGCACATGTTGACACGCGTCGCAAGAAAAAAAATAACAAAAAATAGTATAGTGACACGGTTTTCACATTTAAGTCGACGGACACGCGGCCGATCGCAAAGAACACGACAAATCCGTTTGAACTGAGCCATTACAAGCTTCTATTTCGGATAATCATGTTCATAGCATCCCATATCAGTTAACTAATGCTTGATGAAATAAATTTCACAAAAGAATTATGATGTTACACTCGTATTAATCGACTTTCCTTTGGTTCAAAAGAAATCCAAATTCGGTTTGCAATATATCTCCTTTCGCAGTCATAGTAATAGCATCAAAAGAGTTCCTGAATCCCTTTGATCAATTCCTGGTGTGTTACAAAAAATCCTACGTGAGATAGGTATTCATTTGAGATTTTCGACGGCAATAATCGTCACCCTTTGTAACTCAATAGCGAATTCAAGGGAAGAAATTCTAATGAATCAGAAAAATCATAATTGCATCCTAAGGGAACCAATCATGATTTTTTCAAGTTTGGAACACGTGTTCGAATTTGGGACCCCTTTGCAATTTGATTCTACGCTATAATTACGCTTATATTGATTTTATATATGCCTTGATGTAGAGCATTAGGGCACTTGTACATAAAACTATCTATTGTCCCCATTGATTTAAGTACACTCGTAAATAATTTATCTGTCAGATTTTTTGCGAATCTGAATTTTATCTGTCTCGATATCTCTTGTTCCTTTTCCATAGTCAAAGTGCTGTTTTTGAAAATAGCGTCTCGGCTCTCATCTTGTAGACGTAGGCATTGCTATATAAAAGGAAACCATCAGCAACCCTTCTATCATTCGCTGCACGCACTATTCATTCTAAGTCCAAAAGCGAGGGACGTTCATAACAAAAGATGTCTGCTAGATAAAGGACATGAAGTATTCAAAGCAGTTAATCATATACTTTTTATAATCCATAAATTAAGTACTGAATATACCTCTATTTTCGATTTGGTATTGATTTGATTACTACCAGCTGTCACCGGTTACCCTCGTGTATTGCAGTCTTAAGAAACATGTGTTAAAAGTAATGTTTTCTCTAAATCAGAAAGGTCACGGAACACCACGGCTAATAAAATGGCACTTAAGATTTTACGATGCAGAAAAAACAAAACGCCCAAGTCACACATGTGTCGAGAATTAGCCGCCTCCGTGCAACGGATGGAAAGATTAGGTTAATTTGAATTTCGTGAGTTATGTTTGTCTTGTAAGGCGTCTTAATGCATAGACAAATTGAGGCAGTATCGACTTTCATACGTTCCGTCTATATGAAATACATTTCGGAAACGATGTGTAGTGTCTAAATCCGTTGATAGTTTAGCGGTGTAATATTGAACTTTATAGCATTTGAGTTATGTGTTATATTCGAAAGTTTTGTATTTTATTAGTAAAGTTGGGGCTATTCCTTGATGCAGTTTGCGGAAATGCGTCGGCGACGGTTGTGACATATCGTTCTATAGGTTTGTTTTTATAGAGATGGCGCGTGGGCAGTTGTAACAACAAGACATGATACCGCTTTTCGATACCCGTTGTTGACGTGTTCTATTTTTATTCGCGTAAAAGTTTTAAAAGCTCCGATAACATTGTATCGTAACGTTGATTTACGATATAACGGATGACATTAGAGAAACGCATACAATACCTTGTAAAATTTATTGCATCAATTTTATTGAGTTAAACAAAACTTTATCGAAATGTTTTTAGGCTTCATAAATACTGACATTTAATTTTTTAACAAAATTTATATAAAATCCCTACTTAGTGGCTAATTAAATCCGTTTGAAAATGCATGACCACAACATATACTATTTCATTAAAGTGCCTATTTGGAGCCAGTTGTAAATCTAAAGATTTATTGAAAAAAGATAAAAAAACATTAGTTAGAACACCGAACAGCTACTGCGATCAAAGCTTTTAGTATAAGCGAAATATAACGATGGCCTCCAAAGATATCGTTTTTAAACCGTTGACATCTATATTCGAGAACGTTCCAGATAACAATCGCCGGTCGTTAAGAACTTAGAATGTGAGCTGCTTGTGATTAGCGAATGAATGAATGTCCTACCTCATTTCCCATTAAGATAAGATATAATGGTCTGGTTGCGATTTTTTGGATGTGTTAGAGAAATTCACATTTTCCTTTGCCTTGAATGATAAGTTTATGTGTTTGCCTTTAATTGTAGTCTAATGGTGTAGCGGTTTGGATTCTTTTAAATTTTCTTTAACCTAGGAGAATGACATTAAATAGAGTAAGAATAGTGCCTAATTTCGTAAGTATTTTGTTGTTAAAACATAACTAAACGCTGATCTAACCTCAGATATCTTGCTGTAAGATACATGGACGATGATAGTGTGAAACCAAGCTTCTAAGCATTATAAAAAAGCCCAATAGTTTATTACGTAAGGGACCCACGTGTCGATATTCATAGCAGTCGTAGTTTTGTTTGTAGTCAGATCACTGAGATACGGACCATTTTTCAAACTTGAACACAATGACGTCCAATACGCCGCCCATTGTAAGTACCCGGCCCGATTGATTCTGTTTATTTTTATTATTCTCTCTTTTTTTTTCATCGCATTTTACGCAGCATCCATCACGCATTAGACACAAAAGATAGGCGTCGTTTAACATTATCCTAACTTCTTTACGCTTTGATAACCGCCCGGGGTGCTGGGCTTTTTTATGAACTCGTACACAGTTTAAAATAATTACGTTACTGTGACATATATGGGGGAATTGGGTTCAAAGCGGGGATATTCATAATCTATTCCAATGTGTTGATTGTGAAATATGTGCAACAGACAGATGCGGCGGTAAATCTACGCATGTGTGTTTTGTTAACCTCATGAGTTCTGTCAGTATCTCTTGCACGCTTGTTATGGGACCCGAGGGACTTGTTTATCGACTTCTTTCTAACCTTGGTCTTTTAAAATTTTTGTTTTTAGCTGTTTGTTATTCGTTTGAATGTGGACACAAAAGTTAGTATTTGCTATAGATTAAGCAAATTCGCCGGTTATTATTTTAGTACATTTTAAAAATATCTACTCGTAATTCTTTTTAAAGCCTTGTAATATATCAAGCGCAATTTATTTCCAGTCTTGTTATTTATGTAACAAAGTTAATGATATATTGGGGTAATCGGGAGGACACATTTTGGAATACGCTAAGTGGGGTTATGGTATATTTAAGATGGTACGACGAGGCACTAAATATCGAATAGTGTGGGGGAAAGCAACCCCAATGGAGGGTGAAGGCCGAGCTATTAGCGCCGGTTGAACCCTGACTTTGGTCCGTTCGTAATTCTTGTGTTGCGCAAACATTTGGATAATTAAGTTAATATTTAACTATGTCACGATAATTTTAAGATATCAGGTAATAAGATTTCAGTGTAGTCTTGTATTTGTTAATTTTGTAGCGAAAATAGGGCAAATATATATTTAATCTGTTAACCCAGTCTTTAAAGCAACAACTTTTTATTTAATTAAAACATAGATCATAATCATAAAATTCCGACGACACTTTTCTCACAATAAAAAATTCTTACCTAAGCAAATAAGGCCTATGAGTGACGTCACAACAGCTAACGTGTCCATCTTGAAGTCTATTGCCGCAGACTTCGGTGTACTAACTCCCAAACACTATAAACACTTGTCAACATTTTCTTGTTTCTAATTCACCTGAAAAGAAAGAAAATAACATTAAAATATAGACAAAAGCTCCTTTTGTCAGTTTGTCTGCAACTTATTATGAAACATTGAAGTATTTAAAAATTCAAATTGTATTGTTGGAATTTAACATAGTCATCATGTATCCGATACTTTATATTTCATTTGTTTGTTATTTACGCAGTAGTTTAAATACAACGTAAAATTCAATTATTATGTACACTCGTTTGCACAAACAACAGGACGGACTAACGAGATATGATCGTGTACTCATTGTATTAATGTCCCATCTGTGTTCAGGTGTTATTTACGTCGATAATTAAATATACATTTATCAAAATAACTTATTGTATAAATATTTATAACTAGCTGTTCCCATGCGACTTCATCCGCATAAAATTATAAAAAATAAAATTTATTGTTAACATTTGTCAAATTATCAAATGCAAAATTACATGACATGATGTCAAACCATGGCAACCTTGCTTTCTTAATGTTGGCAGAAACTTATAGTCTTTTTCCCACAGTAGGGTTTTTATCCAAAATATTTACCCCTAAGTTTAACGACATGAAAATATATAGCCTAAAGCGTGACTAAGTGTAGGGCTTTTTATTAAAGAAGAGTTATTAGAAAATATGCTCTAATTGCTGTCATCTTAGGCAACAAAGAAGTGTGTGTTTACGCTTTATTATAATATATGTAGTAGTAAGTAGTATAGATATTACACTTATATTAGGGATGCTTGCTATAAAAATTTAATATCGTACTTAAGTAACTATCTAAGCAACATAAACTAATGTTATTAGTATAAATTTAAGATACCAAAGTACAAAGTTTCGATGAACGTCCTACATAAATTCAGTAATTTATATGGAAGTGTAAAGTGTACCTTTTTAAACATTTTAACGAATGTTTTTTAAGAATTCTTCTAGTGAAGTAGTGTTTAAAATATATAAGTCATTGGTTAACTTCATTAAATTCTACATTTCAATTTATAGGTTAGGTATTTACTCACTCTACTTAACCAATTTAAATTAAATTCAACGCAAATCATCTGTGAAAAGATGGTGGTATAATAATAAAAATTAATATTAAAATCGACGTTTCCTTATTACATTCGTAGTTATCAAAAACTCGAGTACATTATTGAAAACCAATAACTAAAACGAAAAGCGTAGCAAACATTCAATAAAAATGAATTATCTTCCTTATTGTCTAGGCGTAAGAGTCCATTTTACAGTTAGTCGATAGTAAATGTAGCAAGGGTTTATTTTAAATTAATATTTTGTAGACAATACAGCTATAGAAGAATACAAGGGTGATAATATTTGACGTGTCAAATCACTCCCAACTGCTCTCAATGTGAACTTCCGTCACAGCTGAGTGGGTTACACTAGACATACTCGTATTAGAGTTAATAAAATAATATACCTATACTATACTATACTACGTACATATTTTCACTGTTAGACTGAGTGTTCATTGCCAAAACTTATAGTCTTATTATCCCACTCACTATCTTGGAAAAAATAGAGATAGATATATTTTCGTACATGAATTTCTTCAAACTTAAACATACAAATGAAAAATAAATCGCCAACATTGTTCGACACACTTGTGGTAGAAGTTATAGACTAGTCAATTTAATTCTAAATGATACGATTTTTTTGGACATGAAAAGATATTCAAAAAAAAATTCAGATAAAGTTCTCGTTTACAAAGGAACGCGGCAGTAGTCAGAGATAAGATATAATCTGGCACGTGTTATAAATATAAGATTATCAGACAAGTAATAAATTTAATTTGAAAGATTAGGATATTTATACTAAATATTTAGAAGGGGAAGAGGATAAACTTCTTTAGGATCTGTTCCCGAATAAAAGGGTCATTTGTGCATTCCATTGAGACCTCTAACCAAATGGATTAAAGACCGATATATTTGTATAATGTTTTTGCTTTTCTCGTTTTATCGTATGGAAGTATTTTACAAAAGCACTAAATCAGTTTAATTTCAGGTTAAATAGCTATTAGGATCGCAGCTCATTATTCTGTACATTACGCTCCAATGAAACTTAATTACTCGAATTGCAAATCTAATCTAAATTTGAAAACAATGACGAAATTATCCGGCTAAATTAACGTACACTAAATTGATTTTAGCGTAAATTGAATTTAACACATTTCACATTACACGTATAATTGAATGTTACGAAGTGTTACATTATATTATGATTTTTGTTCACCCTTAATTCGACGGAGTTTTGTGGCAATAAAATATTGTATGTTACCAACACACTAAAATACAAAAAAAACCTTCTTGATTTTCTCTAAACTAGTTCAGTAGATTTTTAAAATTTTAAATAAATTGTTCGTCACACTCTAACACTGGACACTATATAACTTCTGGCATAATTCAAAATCACATTTTTGATTAGTAGAAACCTTAGTCTATGTGGTCATTCAGTGGAAAATCAATTAACTATCTATAGAATGTTATTGCCGTTGGTTTCATGTTACGATTATCAACACATCTATTGTTTATCTTTTGTTATCTTGACATGTTCACTAAACAGAATAAGACATTGAGACATTAATAACATAAGTTCATTATTAAAATATTCAAAGTACACCTCTGTCTGTAAACTACAATCCTTTTGTTTACACAACGCATGTTTTGTTTTTAATATATTTCTTACGGCGAGTTAAGTGCAATGACGGATTAAAAATAAACACTTAAACATTTCCAATGTATTTACTAAGCACAATTCGATGGTTCTCACGATGCACACATGCGTATAGCAACTAAACGGTTAACCAAAACAAACGTAGCCAAGGTTAAGTTTATAATTTATTGCCACTTGAGCGACGACAGGGCACCAGTTACACAAAAAAATATCGCCCGATATAAACAATGAGCTCTTTCGATGTAAGCGGCCGAGCGGCCGTCCGCCGACACGCGGGTACGCGACGTATAGGTGCGTAGCTATATTGCGTACGGTACGAAGCATAATTGAAAGCGACGGTAAAAGTATGCCGTTATTTTAAAGCTTTCAGCGTTTTAACATCCCGAGTTTTTAAAATTGTTATAGAACGTTTTTATTCAAGTATGTATTTCACGTCCATTGTACATTTTTCTATTCAAGTGTACGTTAAAGTCGATTGTTATTTTATTAGAAATCAAAATATACTAAGCGACGATGAAATTTCTTGTGGCAACAATATCGTTAGCACTGTAGGGACACTCGAAGACATAATACGAATGTTGACTTTTTACTTTCAAGGTGCGGCCGTCGAGATAACTTTAGCAAATGCACTAAGCTTTAAGCTTCATCGTGTTTATTTTTCACACAGCGCTGCGTCAACATAGTCTATTAACATTTGAAGATTGTTTGTGGACCTGATTAATATTATAGCAGACCGACGCTACCATATAAATATATATAGGAGCGTCGCACATATAAAGTGAAACTCTTTATAAAATCACTAACTTACTCAAGCTATTTGCTTATCTTGAGTTTAAAAGAAAATGTCATAATTGTTGAACTACCATAAATGTTTCGTAATATTTTTCTAAAACTGGAGGTATCGTATAAGCTACGATCAATTTATTATTGATTTAGTTAATATTTTACCTAAATGTAGCCTAAGTTTACTACATTTCATAATTTAATACCGGCGTCTTTTTGCGCTGTTATTCTACGAAGTTTTAAAAGTTTTTTTTTTAATTTCACTCCCACGTTTGGATCATACGCATTTTAGTGTACGTGTGTTATTATTAATAAGAAAACATGTATTTGAGTAACGTTTGTTTTGACGGCAGCGCACATATTAACGCCGCGGGAAAGGCAAGTGTCGACATGTATTAGACCCACACAAAGAGCGATTGATCGTTCGGGTCTTTTAAAATATGAACTGTGCTCCAAATTTGGAATTGATTAATTGTAAGTAGCGACCGTCCCGGGATCCATTTCAGGGGTCTATTTTAGGACTCCATTGCTCAGTTGTAATCGCGACTGTTATTTTTTAATTGCGGCAATTATTTGATCTTTCAAAGACGATTCATTTCGTTAATTAAAAAGATTAAAATGCTTGTTTAATACCAATTGTCCCTCAGATTGCGTAATCAATTGTTGGGTTATGTTATTTTCAGTTTAAAATATTTTGTTTTGTATTTTCAGAGGGCCAAGACAAATATTTTTACAGATAAAAGTATTCTTCAAAAAACCGCATAATAAAATTAATGAATAAAAGTCTCAAATTGATCATTGACAAAATTCGAAAAGTTTATGCCAAAGTACCTTTATTATACGAAAAGTATCAAATAAAACTTGGCAACAAAAATTTTAAGAGCATTTCATTTTTTTACATGTGGCGTGTATTACCAAAAATTGCGCAAGTTTTTGCCAAAGTTTCCGACAAAGCATTGCCCGTCTCTAACAATGCTTTATTTTTGTTCGTGCGGTCTCGACTGACAGCTCGCGTGATGTATTAGTCCCGGGCACAGGATTATTTCTACCCATTTCATGAAGTTTGCATGCATCTATTGTATACAGCGGAAGCGGCTCCACAAAGCTGTTATAGATTATTGTCAAGGGTGAGTTTTGGGGCCTGTGAATAGCTTTAAGCTCGCTTTTAAATATCTGGTGCTAATAATTTACTTAAAATAACTTTGTTCGATATTTTAACAACCACTTTTCGACACGATTGTAAAGAATACTAGTTCTTATTTCATAAAAAAAAACATTTAATCTTATCAGCACTACAACACAATTAGGATTTAGAGAAAAAAATAACAAAGTAATTAAAAAGGAGTGATAAACACGTAATTAAACACGTAAATGACAAAAAAATTATTTAAAATGTGTATTGCAGTACTGACACGATTGGGTCCTCGCTCAGCTGTAAATGCTGGATGCTTCTGATCGAAGTACTCGTACCTAGCGGTGATCTTCCGCAAGAACCCTTGGGATCATTTCTATAGAGAAACTAATAAAATCTCTTGACCACTTTA